CTCCTCCTGATGTGAGATTTCACTCAAATCTATACAGACTTGTTCTGAATAGGGAGTTTCAGATTTCATGACAACTGGATTCACTTACAAGTTAAACCCTTGAATTAAAGCAAACCAAGTACAAGGGTACCTGCGGTACACTGAGATTTTAATGGTAAGTGAGGTCTTATTTCAAGAAATTAGAATAGTTTTGTGGCATTTATCGCATTTGTGAGCTTGATTACTTCCAATTATACCATAAACCAAATAGCAAGCCATGCTTAAAAACTGTAATGAACTTAGTCAACCAGATGATGTCAGTACCAAAGCAAATGGACTTCAATGAAGCCAAAGTGCCTTCACAGTTTGGTGCTGGTGACAAAGGTATTCCCTGTGAAAACTGCCAAAGCATTGTAAATATCCTCATTTGCTAACCTTGCCATTGGACATTATCTAAAACAGCTAATCCACACTAACATGGTTCAGCAAAGAACTTTTATTAAAGGACACATAATTCTAACCTGAGTCTTTAAATTTCATGCATGCAATTCTCATTGAATTCAATATAGTTTGGGGTTTTGCAGCTGCTGGAAAGGGTATCAGGTGGCAAGAATACTTGCTAATAAGATTAAAAATTGAAATGTAAATTGGCTAACATTTTGCATGGATTATCACATGCTCAAGAATCAGAATTTCAGCTTGGCCTCCATTCAACCAAGTGTCTCTCTATTTCTGCCCAAATTGATCTTGATAATGGTTGGTGAACTCAAACACACCACAATGCATACAGCTTTTGCCAAATGGCAGGCGAGCATCTCAAGAAAGATAACAGGGCACATGTTTAGCAAGAAGGTCTCACAGCACAGCTGTGTCCAACGGCTGCTCTTTTAAATATTCCTTTCACAGCGACCAGGCCTCCCTTCTACTGCTGGCTTCTTAGATGGCAGAGGAGGAAAGAGAAGTCACAGTAAGTTGGGGGTGGAGAGGAGACCCAGTCAGAAACTCACAAAGCTTTGAGGAACTCTTTAAATTAGAATCACAAAAAAGAAAATGCTCCAAAACAACAACAACAACAACAACACAAAAAACACATGAAAAGATGCACAACATCACAGTAATTATAGAAATTCAAATCAAGACAACAATGAGAGACCACTTCAAAAACACTAGGACGGCTACAATAAAAAAGATGAACAGTGAGTGCTGGTGAGGATGCGGAGAAACTGGAACCCTCACCCACTGCTGGTGGAAATGTGAAACAATGCAGGGGCAGTTTCTCAAAATGTTAAAACAGAGTTACCATGTGACCCAGCAATTCCACTCCCAGGTAGTTATCTACAGAAATGAAATATACTCCACATAAAAACTTGTACATAAATGTACATAGCAGTATTACTCATAGTAGCCAGAAGTGAAAACAACCCAAATGTCTATCAACTGATCACTGGATAAACAAAATATTGTATATCCATTCAATGGACAATTGTTACAATGAACAATGCAATATAAGTGCTGATACATATTACGATATGGCTGAACCTTGAGGACATTATGCTAAGTGAAAGAAGCCACTCTCAAAGGGACAAATACTGTATGATTATATGAAATGTCCAGAATAGACAAACAACAACAAAAATAGATGAGCAGTTGCCTAGCATTGGAAGGGGGGTTATGGCTAAGGGTTACAAGGTTTCCTTTTGGGGTGACAAAAATATTCTAAAATTAGGTTGTGGTGGTGGTTAAACAACTGTGAATATACTAAAAACTACTGAATTGTACACTTTAAATAAGTGAATTATATCTAAATAAAGATACAAAAAGAAAGAAAAGAAAATGAGAAGAAACAAAAAGAAGCTGAGTTATAAAAGGCAGAAGTAAGTCTAAGAAGGCTGTGTCTGACAAACTAGTCCTGGCTGAAAAACCAGATGATGGGGCAATTCACATGCCACTGACTAGTCGTGATGATGACCAAGCAGCTCACCAATCCAGATGTAGGGCAGCATTCATTGGCATGACCACCACCCCCACCATCAGACATCCTACTCAAGTGGCTCCCAGTCATCCACCAGGTTTCTGCTCTGGGCTGCCTGAGACCTGTCAGCCCTGCCCCAACTCAACCACAGCTTCCACTGGTTCATGATTCTTCTGAAAGGAGCTCAGAAGTGACACCTTAATGATGGAAGGGAGCAGCAGTTGCTGCAGTAGCCAAAGCAGACTCCTCTTTGATGCCTGGCTATCCTGCCAGTTGTCCCCTACTACATCAGAAACCATCAAACTGAGCAACAGGGACAAATCCAAGATCATTCCAAACGTGACCCACCCAGGGATCTCACCTCCAAAATTCTATGATTAGGTGTAAAACAAACCAAAAAACCCCAGTACCTTCATACTCGACTCTCACATTTTAAGAAAAAGAGAAGAAGATCACCGCATTAGGCATACAGTTATGAAGATAAAAATATTTCAGCCACAATCGTTTTTCCATTATAATAAATATCGTGGTTCATGATAGAACTTTACAGCCCAAAGATATGATTAACATGATGATGCTGTTTCAAGTAAGCAGAGAAGACGATTTATTCCCACAAAGCAATATGAGAATAAAAGAGTGATGAGTGCTCTGCAGTTAGCAGAAAAGGGACCCTCATTGTCTTTTGGATGGGAGACCTACTCTTCAGAAGTGAAACTAAGATTTGTTTTAACTGACCAAAAGGAAAGCTTGAGGAACAGATATACGGTACATTCCACCCTCACACCCGGGGGGCGGGGAGGGGGGCAGTGGGGCAGCACACAGTGCCTTTCAGAGGGACAGGTGTTTGGAGGGGCTTCTGGGAACAGCCTGGCAGACGAGGTGTCAGACTAAGGAAAAAAGGGCAAAGGAAAGGGGTCCTCGGGCAGGCAGGGGTAGGTATAGAGGAGGAAGAGTTTAGTAGGGAAGGGAGATAAAAAGGAGTATTCATGGTGGCTCAAGTCTGTAATCCCAGCACTTTGGGAGGCCAAGACGGGCGGATCACGAGGTCAGGAGATCGAGACCATCCTGGCTAACACGGTGAAACCCCATCTCTACTAAAAATACAAAAAACTAGCTGGGCGAGGTGGTGGGCACCTGTAGTCCCAGCTACTCGGGAGGCTGAGGCAGGAGAATGGCGTAAACCCGGGAGGCGGAGCTTGCAGTGAGCTGAGATCCGGCCACTGCACTCCAGCCTGGGCGACAGAGCGAGTCTCCGTCTCAAAAAAAAAAAAAAAAAAAAAAGGAGTATTCACCACTGCTACTCCATTTCAGCTGGCAGAAAGTGTCAAGCCTGAGAGGAGTGAGGTGTGGGAAAGGCCCAGACAGGTGAAGCTGTACTTCCGAAGCTGATCAGGGACTGGCAGCAGGTATTTAGGAATCCAGGTCAAATGGGGGGAAGCGACTGGACATGAACTAAAATTGGGTGAGTTAGATTTCCCAGTACGTGGGTACCAGAGACTGAGAGGAAGCCCTGTGCCGCTGAGAACAGTTAAGAATAGGAAAGAGGGTCCCCTGGAACCAGGATCAGGCAAGGCGAAGGTATGGGATGGGGGAGTCTGGATAGAGGCCAGGAAGACTGGGAAAAGACCGCAAGTGGTCCCAGAGCAGGGGCAGGAGGCCTGGGGGTAGAGAAGCTGGAAGGAGTTGGGTGCCTGGACCATGAAAAGACAGAAGCAGTGAGTGGAACAGGGGACCCAGGAGGCAACATCCCAGCAGACTGTGAGCGGCACTCAGGGAGTGAGTGCTTGGTCTTGAGGTGGGGCCAGGGCCTGACCAGTCAGTTGTGGGTTAGGCGCTCCCCCGTCTGGGGGTCTGATGAAGCCCTCCTAAGGAGATCTCAGGAGCAGGAAGACCCCAGGGTCTGCGGATTCCTGGGACTGAGGAAGGGGCGGGAGGGCATGTCTCAGGTCTGAGAGAATCTGACATGGGCCCAGACACGGGGAGGGTCCCGAGTCTGGTGAAACCAATGGAGAGTGCTTCAGGGTCTGAAAAGGGCTGGTGGCAGTCCCTGATCTAGGGACGACAGGTCATGGGGAGGAAGGACCCAGGCCTTTCCCTAGTCATGAGGGGCTTCCGGATCCCAGACGGGCCGGTCACGGGCTTCAAGTCTGGGAGTGTTCGGGGTCCGCAAGGAGCCGGTCACGACGGGCTCCGGGTCCGAAGGGGCAGGTCAGGGCTGGGGCTCGGAGAGTGTGAGACACAGGCTGGGCAGGTCCCGGGTGGGAAGCGCCGGGTGCAGGAGGCCCCGGCGGCGAGGGCCTGTTCCGCGGCTGCGGGCTCGAGGAGCCGAGGCGGGCACGGCCCGTGAGCGCCGCGAGGAGGCCCTCGGGCCCCGGCCCGGCCCGGCGCTCACCTGCAGCACCACCTCTACGTCGTACGAGTTCCCCTTGCTCTTCTGGTGGCCGCGGAACTTGGAGCCGCTGTAGAGCAGACTGGTGGCCACGCCGGGCTGCTGGGTGTTGATGGGCGGCGGCGGGATGAGTGAGGCCGCGGAGGCAGCCGAGGCACCGGCCGGCGGGGGACACTCGGTGCGGACGGGCATCGCGGGGTCCCCCGGAGCCAGGGCTGGGGGGAGTGGGAGAGGAACCGCCGCCGCCGCGCGGGAGCCGAGGAGGGTGGCGGGGAGGGAGAGGCCGGGGCGCGCACGCGCGGGGTGGGGGCGGGAGGGGCGACCACCCGCCCGCTGCCTGCGGACCAAGCGCTCTGGCCGCCACCGGGACCCAGGGACCTGCGAGCAGGGCCTCCCAGTCCTGAGCTGGGTCCCCCTCCCGACTTGCCCTCGCGCACACATACACACACAGAGACACTCACAGACACACTCACACACGCACACACACACCCCGCCCCTTCCGATTGGCTCGGGCGAGCCTCGGGGGCGGGAGCAGGCTCACGCGGCGCTTCCGCCCATTGGCGGGAGGAGAAAACACGTGGCGGGGTGCGCGAGCGGCCCGCTGGGACTTGTAGTCTCCTCGCCGAGGCGCGGCGTGGAGGGGGCGGGGCGAGGTGCGTTTGTGATGCTGATTGACTGGGGGTGTGCGCAGGAGGTTTGCGAAGGCGACGGCGCGCCGTTGGTGTCATGCGGAAGATGGCGGCGTCCAAGGGAGGCTGAGGGCTTTGAGGAAGCGGTGAGAGGTTTCCGTACAGCCCGAACGTGCGGTTTTGGGGGTCCCTTCGCTCTGTGTTTCCTGCTCCAGGTTTCGCGTCGCGCATCTTCCCAGACCCTCGGGCGCGATGTGGAGGAGCTGCCTCCGGCTGCGGGACGGGGGACGCCGTCTCCTGAATCGGCCTGCGGGTGGTCCCTGCGCTTCTATGAGTCCGGGGCCAACCATCCCGTCTCCAGCCCGGGCTTACGCCCCGCCGACAGGTAAGACTATGACACGTTCTCTTTTGGGTAGGGGCCGAGCTGGGGTAAGGTGGGCTTCGGGCTTCGGCTATGCAAAGCGAGGTGACTGAGGCAGGGTTCAGGCTCATGAGGTTATGCAAGCCGGTCAAGTCTTTTTACAGATGAGAAAGTGAAGCCCAGACAAGGGCAGACGACCCGAGAGGGAACAGCGAGTGACGCACGATACAGTAATTGATATTTGGCCTGTGCAGCTTTTCTCAAAGCTTATGGCTGCCATCCCTAGGAAATAAGGTGTCATCCTTGTTTTCAAAAGGGGAAGTTTGGGCTCTGAATCAGGACTTCGCCTAGGTTACAGACAGACTGTCTCAGAGATTTGAGGTGTCTGACTGCTTTCCGTGTCTCCACTGCCCAACACAATACCTGCACAGAAGGGACCTAGAACCTAGACCTTCATTCCTCCATCCTGGGCACTTCAGCTGCAGGTTTCCTGACTTTCCCTCCTACCACAACCTCTGCCATCTGCAGCCTTCTCTGCTAAATAGAAATTGACATCTCCACCTTTGACTGTGGAGTCACCTCCACCTCCAACTCTGATGAAGCTCAGACGTAGTGGCTCTTTCATTGCTGATGGTGAGTGGTGTTAGGGTAAGAGTGAGAATGATTCATTTCAGTGAATGAAAAGCAGTAACACCCTCCCACCATTCAATTAGTTTTATAGTGCTGGAGGCAGGAGACACGGTAGTCTTTAAGACCCACCTGTATGTATTGGTAGAGAAGCTCAGTTAAAGAAGAAAAAGACCCACCTGAATGATGTTCACTGTTGAGTGCAAAGGGTATAATATCCTGATAAGGGACATACAAAGAAGCTGTGAAAACACGGAGAATCACCTGCTCCCGTCTTGGGGCTGTTCAGGGTTTAGAATGGGTCTTGGGTGAAAGGGCATTTAAGCTGAGCCATGATAGATGAGTAGGAGTTCAGCAAGAAGGTGGGAGAGTGTTGGGTATCTAGAACATGTCCAGGGTGACAGCAAGATATGAGGGACTTTTCCCTAACACTGCCTGCTTTAGAAACTTGAGAACTTCACAGGCAGTTTGGCATTGTGGCAGGAGTGCAAATCTAGGATCTGATACTGGCAAAACCTCTGAGGTCTGTGTGATCTTGGGCATGCAACTACTTCCTAATTTTTCTGCATGAGTTGAAGTACTAGGTTGTCTTTGAGGATCTTTCTGGCTATTGAGTTCTTTTTTTTTTTTCTTTGTTTCTTTTTTTTTTTTTTTTTTGAGACAGAGTCTCACTCTGTCGTGGAGGCTGGAGTGCAGTGGCGCGATCTCGGCTCACTGCAACCTCCGCCTCCCAGGTTCAAGTGATTCTCTGGTCTTAGCCTCCTGAGTAGCTGGTACTACAGGCATCTGCCACCAGGCCCAGCTAATTTTTGTATTTTTAGTAGAGATGGGGTTTATGTTGGCCAGACAGGTCTCGAACTCCTGACCTTGTGATCTGCCTGCCTCGGCCTCCCAAAGTGCTGGGATTACAGGCGTGAGCCACTGCACCTGTCCAAGTTCTATAACTTTATAGAAATGGGGAAGGGGGCTGGATGCAGCAGGGAGCTGAAGTTTCACCTGTAGGACTCAGGGGAAGGGCCTGGAAATGGGCCATGAAGGGCCAGTAAAGAAGAGGAAGGAAGGGCATCCCGGGGAGGCATAGCAAAGGGGACACATTCGGGAGTTCACCAAGTTGGCAAAAAGCAAAGGGTTAATTAATTAATTTTTTAATGTGTGTGTATATATATATTTATTTATTTATTTTGAGATGGAATTTTGCACTTGTCACCCAGGCTAGAGTGCAATGGCACAATCTTGACTCACTGCAACCTCCGCCTCCCAGATTCAAGCAAGTCTCCTGCCTCAGCCTCCCAAGTAGCTGGGATTACAGGTGTCTACCACCACACCAGGCTAATTTTGTATTTTTAGTAGAGATGGGGTTTCACCATGTTGGCCAGACTGGTCATGAACTCCTGACCTCAGGTGATCCGCCCGCCTCAGCCTCCCAAACTGCTGGGATTATAGGCATGAGCCACCACGCCCGACCACGAAGGGTTAATTTAGATTAGTGGATGCTCACTTTACATAATGGTGGCACTTGATCTACTGCCTTCTTTTCCTTTCTAAAAAGCCTAAACTTACTAGTTAGGCTCTTGGAATTACCTGGCACATGGTAGATAGTACCTAAACTTACTAGTTTAGGCTCTTGGAAGTACCTGGCACATGGTAGGCAGTCAAATGTGAAAGAAAATAGGAATGAATGAATGAGGAGGGAGGTGCAGAAATCAGGCCCATGTGTGCTCTTTAAAGACATTACCAGTTGTGAGATACTTGTGCGTGTTTGGAGTAGTAGAAGATTAAACCCCAGTGGGTTCTTCTCAATGAACACTTCAGTCAGCAAGCTGATTGAACTTGGCCACTTAGGAATGGCCATGCCATTGAAGGTTATCAGAGGAAGAGGAGGAGTTTAGGAAAGGGTCACTGAGGTGTTGGAGAAGGAGATGTTGCAACAAGAAGACCTCTGTGAGGTTGTTGTGGCAGTTTAGTTCTGCACCAGCTTATCAGAGGTCTGTTGACTCCCAGAGTGGGAGGTATTCTGGAGAAACCTATCTATTCAGCATATCTCGCTGAATGCGACTGCCTGATGAAGTCAAGACTAGAAGTCTTGTCTCTGCTATTTACCAGTTGTCTGTCACCTAGACAAGACGTTTAGCTTCTCTATCACCTCCGAGGCATTAGCTGCCTTGTCATTCTCATAGAATCGTGGTGTGGATTGAGGGATATTACGTAGTCTGTAGATCAGGGTCCAGCCTGCCACCTGTTTTTGTAAGTAGAGTTTTATTGGAACACAGCCACATGCATTCATTTCCATATAATATATGGCTACTTTCACTACAGTGGCAGAGTTGAATAGTTGGAACAGATATTGTATGGCTTGCAAAACTTAGAATATTTACTATCTGATTCTTTGCAGAAAATTTTTACTAAATGTTGTACATTTGGCCTGAAGGATTTTTTTAAACAGCTTTATTGAGATATTTACTTGCTATACAATTCATTTACTTGAAGTGTAAATATAATAGTTTTTAGTATATTTACAGAATTGTACAGCCATTGCCACAATCAATTTTAGAATATTTTTATCACCCCTAAGAGAAACCTGTACCCTTCAGCTGTCATCCTTACTCCTTCCATCCCTTGGCAACTACTACTTTCCTTTGTTCTTTTATAGATTTCCCTGTTTGGGGTATTTCATAGAAATAGAATGTGGTCTTTTTTGACTGACTTTTTCACTTAGCATAATGTTTTAAAGTTTGTTTGTTTGTTTGTTTGTTTTTAAAGAGATTGGGTCTCATTCTGTTGCCCAGGCTGGAGTGTAGTGGTACGATCACAGATCACTGTAACCTCAAACTCCTGGGCTCAAGTGATCCTCCTGCCTCAGCCTCCCAAGTAGCTAGGGCTACAGGCACACACCACCATGCCCAGTTAGTTTTTTAGTGTTTTGTAGAAATGGAGTCTTGCTCAGGCTGGCCTCAAACTCCTGGCCTCAAGTGATCCTCCTGCTTCGGCCTCCCAGAGTGCTGGGATTATAGGAGTGAACCACCACACCTAAACGTTTTTAAGTTTTATCCACCTTGTATCATGTATCAATACTCCATTCTTTTTTTTTTTTTTTTTTTGAAACGGAGTCTCGCTCTTTCACCCAGGCTGGAGTGCAGTGGCACGATCTCGGCTCACTGCAAGCTCCGTCTCCTGGGTTCACGCCATTCTCCTGCCTCAGCCTCCTGGGTAGCTGGGGCCACAGGTGCCTGCCACTGCGCCCGGCTAATTTTTTATATTTTTAGTAGATACAGGGTTTCACTGTGTTAGCCAGGATGGTCTCAATCTCCTGACCTTGTGATCCACCCGCCTCGGCCTCCCGAAGTGCTGGGATTACAGGCATGAGCCACCGCACCCAGCCCATTCTTCTTTATTGCCAAACGATATTCCATTGTATATGTAAATATGCCACATTTCACTTATCCATTCGTCCATTGGTGGACACGGTTGTTTCTACCTTTTGGCTAATATGAATAACACTACTATGAACATTCATGAACAAGTTTTGTACTTGAACATTCATGTACTTGTACTATGAACATTCATGTACAAGTTTTTGTGTGGACATATGTTTTCATTTGTCTTGGGTATATAACTAAGAGTAGAATTATTGGGTCAAAGGTAACTCTGTTTAACTTTTGGAGGATCTGCCAGACTATTTTCCAAGGTGGCTGTGCCATTTCACATTTCCACCAGCAGTGTTTGAGGGGTCCAGTTTCTCTACATCTCAACAACACTTGTTGTTGTCTTTTTTATTATAGTTGTCTTAAAGGGTTTGAAGTGGTATCTCATTGTGGTTTTGATTTGCATTTCTCTGATGAATTATGTTGAGTATCTTTTCACGTGCTTAATGGCTGTTTGTATATTTTCTTTGAAGAAACGTCTATTCAGATCCCTTGACCATGGTTTTTTTAAAGAGAGGGGCTCTTGCTCTGTCACCCAGGCTGTAGTGCAAGTGGCACAGTCACAGCTCACTGCAGCCTCAACCTCCTGGGCTTAAGTGAGCCTCACACCTCAGCCTCCAAAGTAGCTGGAAACTACAGGTATGTGCCACCATGCCCAGCTAATTTTTAATTTTTTTTGTACAGACAGGGTCTTGCTATGTTTTCCAGGCCGGTCTCAAACTCCTGGAATCAAGCGATCTTCCCACCTATGTCTCTCAGGCTTGAACATTTTTAAATTGGGTTATTTGTTGTTGTTTTTGAGACAGGGCCTTGGTCTGTTGCCTAGGCTAGTGTTCATGGCTCACTGCAGCCTCAACCTCCCAGGTTCAGGTGATCCTCCCACTTCAGCCTCCTGAGTAGCTGGGACTACAGGCGTGCGCCACCATGCCTGGCTAATTTTTGTATTTTTGTAGAGATGGGGTTTTGCCATGTTGCTCAGGCTGGTCTTGAACTCTTGGACTGAAGCGATCCACCTACCTCAGCCAGCCAAAGGGCTGGGATTACAGGCGTGAGCCACCATGCCCAGCCTATTTGTCTTTTTGTTATTGAGTCGTAAGAGTTCTTTATGTATTTGGGCTGAAGAATTTTGATACCTGAAAAGAGTTGGTTAGAGCCGCCCTAGGATTACAGATGGACCTGGAGGTAGAATTTCACCTTTAAGGTTTAAGGCCCACCAGATGGCACTGTTTTAAAAGATAAAGGCGTTGAGACAGCTCTGAAACCAGTACTTCCTCTTCTTGGTGCACTGTGGGAGTTGTGGTTCCTGAGGCTGGTAATCTTTCTAAAGAGAAGGCCAGTTCTGCTTGATCCTACGAAGCTAGGCTGATTTTTTTTCATGTTTAAAGACAGGGTTCCCATTGATGTCTGTTAACCCTGTATTCACTGAGAACATGGGAGCTTCATGGGTTTCTGGTGGTCTCACATTTTGTCTTATGTGACATTGTTGGGGAACATGGATCCCCCAAATGAATTGTCCAGATCGTGTTCGTTCTTTTTTTTTTTTTTTTTTTTTTTCTGAGACAGAGTCTCTCTCTGTCACCCTGGCTGGAGTGCAGTGGCACAATCTTGGTTCACTACAACCTCCGCCTCCTGGGTTCAACTGATTTTCAGCCTCCTGAGGAGCTGGGATTACAGGCAGGCACCACCATGCCTTGCTAATTTTTTTATTTTTTTGTAGAGACAGGATTTCACCATGTTGGCCAGGCTGCTCTCGACCTCCTGGCTTCAAGTGATCTGTCCCCCTCGGCCTCACAAAGTTCTGGGATTACAGGTGTGAGCCACAACGCCTGGCCCCAGATCATGTTCTTGTGTGCCTATGTGGAGCCTTTACTTGGTTCCCTTTGCTGTCTTTGCAGTGATCTACGTGTCCCCCAGATGTGGCCCCACTGCCCTCTCTAGCATCTTAGAGAATCTTGCGTTCTCCTTCTGACCATCTGTCTAGTCCACAACTGCTGTCTCGAAGCCTTGGTCCTTCATGCAACTGGTTTCTTCTTCTGGAAACTACTTCCACAGCCCCCTCCACAAAAAAAAAAATGAATCAATCATAAAGTTTGGTACCTCCTGCCTCACCTTCAAGTTGCAATCTAATTCTGACTGATCATTCCACTTGCCTGCCCCATCACAGAAGTCACCTTATTGTTTACCTGGTTTAGTGGTCTGTATTCCTACTACACAGTAAGTGGCTGGAGGGTGCAGAGATGAGCTTTGCACATGTCCCATTCCCAGGACTTACCATATGTCCTGGAACATGATCACTACTCACCAAAGCTTGTTCCAAGACACGTTTGCCCCTCCACGTGTCAGTGGGTCATTCAGGAGAGCCCCTGGCTAAAACACATCTATGTGTACCTGCCTTCTAATCTGAGGACTGGCAGCCCCTGGGCTCCTTTTGCCCTTCTGCTGTCTCATTTTCTGCATGATTTTCTTCTGCTTTAAGCAATTTTGGTGGCTCCTTCCCTGCCTTCCGTCTATCCCACTCCCGTCTAGTTTTTTCTTATTCAGTTACAGAAGTGAGCCTGGCCAAGAAAACAGAAAAAAGACTTCCCTCTTGGGAAACCTGGCTGTCCCAGGAGCTTGTGAAGGTTCAGCCCTGTGCTGGCAGTTCCTGCCCTGAGTCTGTTCTTCTGGCCCAGGTCTCTTGGGTTCACTTCCCAGACCAGGCCTGGAAGTATGCTAGAGTGCTCACTCTTGTATACTTGTACACTCTTGCTGGCACTTCCTGCTGACGTGGGAAGACCCTTTCCCTAGTGTTGAGTCAGAGCTTTCAGAGCCCTTCCCAACTTCCTGCCTGGCCCGGTTTTATACATGCTGCCCAGCCTGTTGCATTGAAAACATGGAGGGCATGGTCTACCTCACTCCAGACCTGAGAGAGGAAAGGAGGCCTCCAGACCCATGTCTAGCCTGCCATTTGGATTTGACCAGGACAGTATGTAAAGAAATTTAAAAGCACTAGGGTGCTGTAAACTTCCAATTTTAGTGTAAAACATACGAGATAATCAGTGTTGTGATTTCAGATGAAGGTGCTAAATCGTGCCATAGAAAGACAGCATCATCTTGGTGGACAGATCTGATCCTAAAAAAAACTTTAAACTCCCTGTCTATTTTATTGACTCTTGTATCCCAAGTGCCAAGGCACATGGTAGACACACAAATATTTTTGTGGGAAAAAAATTGGGGCCTTAGTTTAGTAAGTGCAAATGTGGAATGCAATTTTGGGCCCTCTGTCTTTAAGTATTAGTGATAGCAAATGAGATTTATAGAAAACTGATATGATGGGAAAACATAAAAATATTTGGAGTAAAACCAGTTGCCTGCTTCTCCATTACCCTTCCCTCTCCATGCACACATACTAATTTCTCCTGAATTTTCATGGTCTGTTTGAATTAATGAAATTTTAACTTAAGCTTGTTTATTATTGTTGTTGTTGTTGTTGTTTTGTTTGCTTGTTTCAAGAGACGGTCTTGTTCTGTTGCCCAGATTGGAGTGCAGTGGTGACATCACAGCTCACTGCAGCCTCAGCCTCCTGGGCTCAAGCAGTCCTCCTGCTTCAACCCCCCTAGTAGCTGGGACTACAGGCATTTGCTGCCATGCCCGGCTAATTTTTTATTTTTGTATTTTTTTATTATTATTTTTTGAGATGGAGTCTTGCTCTGTCACCCAGGCTGGGGTGCAGCAGCACAATCTCAGCTCACTGTAGCCTCTGCCTCCTGGGTTCAAGCGATTCTCCTGCCTCAGCCTCCCGAGTAGCTGGGACTACAGGCATGCGCCACCATACTTGCTAATTTTTGTATTTTTAGTAGAGACAGGGTTTCACCATGTTGGCCAGGCTGGTCTCGAACTCCTGACCTCAGGTGATCCACCTGCCTCTGCCTCCCAAAGTGCTGGGATTACAGCGTGAGCCACTGCACCCAGCCTTATTTTTGTATTTTTTGTAGAGATGGGGTCTCATCATGTTGCCCAGCTTGGGTTTTGAACTCCTAGCCTCAAGCAGTCTTCCCACCTTGGCCTCCCAAAGTGCTAGGATTATAGGCATGAGCCACTGTGACCAGCCTTTTTTTTTTTTTTTTTTTTTTTTTTTAGCATTAAAAGCAAATTATTTGGCTGGGCATGGTGGCTTACGGGTGGGATCACTTGAGGTCAGGAGTTCGAGGCCAGTCTGGCTGGCATGGCAAAACCCTGCCTCTACTAAAAATTCAAAAATTAGCCTGGAGTGTTGGTGCACGCCTATAATCCCAGCTACTCAGGGAACTGAGGCAGGAGGATCGCTTGAACCCAGGAAGCGGAGGTTTCAGTGAGCTGACATTGTACCACTACACTCCAGCCTGGGCAAGAGAGTGAGAAGCCATCTCAAATAATTAAATAAATAAATAAATAAATAAATAAATAAAGCAAATGATTTACTCTTTTTTCCTCCACATGCTGCATCATTATTTCCAATAAATAACTTCAGTTAGGGCCTCCGAAGACTTTGAGAACTCAGTGAACACATGAACGAGTGAACAAACGAATGAATGAATGAAAGTTTTGTGTTTGTCACAGATGTGAGAGACTAAGTTATAGCTTATAGCTTCCAAAATGTGACTTCTTTGTTATCAGTTGAGGGAATCTGCATAATTCCTTAGAAGTACTCTTGATTGTTAATCCCTCCAGGCTAAAAGAAGGAGACTGTTTCATGTAAGATTTTATTCAAGTTAATTTCAAAAGAAAACACAGGACACAGATTTTCCCTTTCTTGAAGGAAATGTTTGGAGTTCCTGTTGGATACATAAGCAAGCTGGTTAATTAGGTTAATTAATTGGAGAGAGGGGATGGGAAATGCCCTTGGGAGCTCTGCATCCTGCCTATGTACCTCACACGCACACCCTGCGCAGGCACACTGGCTTTCCACTCACTCCTTAGAGGCATCAGGGTCTTGGCTGAAATGAGTCTCTAGCTTTGTCCCACTCAGACACCGACTTTAGGTTTGTGCTGGCATGGGGTGGCACTGGTGGTGGGGAGGGTGGGAAAGCATGCCGAGATGCTCCTGATCAGACTTGTCCCCAGGCTGGGGGGTTGGCAGAGGCATGACCAGCATGTCCTGTTCCTCCCTCCTCCCTGGAGATCGGATGCTCCCTACCCCCAGCTTTAATCAGAAGCAGTTGATTATACCATGTTGAGTAGGGCAGACCTTGAATGGGGATATGAAAATCAAGCCAATCAATCAACATTAGCAGTAATGATACAAGCTGGTCCTGTCGCTTCCTGAGTTGTCTCAACGTTATTTTAAACTGCCTCTTTGAAAAATCTTTCTTACAGAAAGGAAGAGGTTTTATCAGAATGTCAGCATCACACAGGGTGAAGGTGAGTGTCTGAAATTTTGACTGCCTCTTTTTTTTTTTTTTTTTTTTTTGTGAATGGTCGGGAACATTTTTCATCTTCAGCTGGTTCCGTGGTGAGATTATCCTTCCTGCTTTTGTCAGATATATTTCTGTAAGGGACTCAGAGTTGGCTTTGTCTGCACCAATTCAAGTGGCTAAATATAGGAATGGTCACTTGATTCCACTTAACAAATCCCTGAGAGTTTTTCATTTGATCTTTCAAGGTGGCTTTGAGATAAACCTGGACCAGAGGAAGCTGAAAACTCCCCAAGCCAAGCTCTTTACCGTCCCCAGTGAGGCCCTGGCCATTGCAGTGGCCACTGAATGGGATTCCCAGCAGGATACCATCAAGTACTACACCATGCACCTGGTAACAAGTTCACAGTGCGAATCTGGACCCTGAGACCCACCCAGGGCTTCCTAGGGTAGATCCCTTACCAAATTCTGACAAGGCCCTGGGGGATGGTCCTTTGCCTACCTGGGCCCCAGGTGTTCACCTCCTCTCGAGTCACTAATGTGCTAAACTCTTTCCTTGTCTGGCCTGGCTACTTGCAGTTCTCTCTCCTAGGAACACTGTGCTGGATGACTGGTTTCTCCTTTGGTTTCAGGACAGATGTCACCTTCACTGACTCCCCAGCTCTCTTATTTTCTATGACAGCAGCTGGCCATTTGTTTTGTCAGCACTTAGACAATTTATAATTGTTTTATGTTTGCACATTTATTGTCTGTCTGTCTCTACTGCCTGGTAAGCAACAGAAAGGCAGGAGCCATGTCTGTTTTACTCACCAGTATCTGGACAGCCACTAGCAGGTAGTTTAGTTGGTACTTAATAAATATTAGTTGACTATAAGACCCACTGGAGGCAGATGGGTGAGGTGAGGAAGACTCCCTATAGAACCAGAGCCCCTCGTCCACACCAAAGTGGCTCATCTAGGCACCAAGGCTGCCTGGGGAAGGAAGGGCCCAGCCAGACTCATTGGTCCAGCCTCTGCAGCTTCTAAACTGTAACCTTGGGCAGGTTGCTGCCCCTTTCACAGCCCCGTATTCCCCATCTCCTAAAGATGAGTGATAATAGTACCCACCTCACAGAGCCATGGTCAGGATGAGATGAGATGATGCAAGAAAGCCCTTGGCATGGTCCCCAGCACTGACTGGGCACTGAGTCAGTGTAGGAGTCAGCTGCTGTCATCCCAGTCGCTGCTGTGCTCAACCTTTGCAAACTCACATGGGCCTCCTGCCAACATCACAGCCTGCTGAGGTGCTGGCCTAATCCTTGACAACCTAGTGAAATTGGGGTGATTGGGGCTACAAACGAATAGGGTAACCTAAGCAGCCTGTTATTGACAAGGTAAGTCTGGAAAAAAATAATATATATATATATATTTTTAAACAGAGTCTCGCTCTGTTGCCCAGGCTGGAGTGCAATGGTGCAATCCCAGCTCACTGCAACCTCCGCCTCCTGGATTCAAGCAATTCTCCCGTCTCAGCCTCCCAAGTAGCTGCGATTACAGGCGCCCACCACCATGCCTGGCTAATTTTTGTATTTTTAATAAAAATGGGGTTTCACCATGTTGGCCAGGCTGGTCTTGAACTCCTGACCTCAGGTGATCTACCCATCTCAGCCTCCCAGTGTTGGGATTACAGGCATGAGCCACCACACTTGGCCAAAACAAATAATCTTAGTCCTGATTTGCATGGTCTGTTTCCCTCCTTTCTAAGGTGTAAGGGAGGCAGCTGGTAAAGGTTTCCCGTCAGATTTGCGCTCCATCACTGATACGTGTCTTATTAACTGTATTTGATGATGTACTTAACCTAACCTGTCTGGGCCTCAGTTTTCACATCCCAGATGGGCATAATAATAGTACCTATTCCAAAGGGTTGTTGTGAGGATTAAATACACTAGAACCTGGTAATAATGTGACTGTGGGGAGGTTCACTAATCATGGGGCTGCTGCAAGCTTCCCTCAAGTCCTGTGAGCATCGACAGAAAGCATTTGGCATGGAGCCTGGCTGTGGCACACTCTCAGTAGCTGTGCTGCTGCTCCGGTAGTGCAGATGCCTCTGGTGGAGGGCTGTGCTGTGGTGCTATCTGCTATGTGTCAGATGAGGTGTCCTCAGGAAAGCAGGGCTTTTGTCTGAGCCCCACAGGCAGTGACAGGGTGGTTTTTGCCTTTGATTCAGACCACATTGTGCAACACATCCTTGGACAACCCAACCCAGAGAAACAAGGATCAGCTGATCCGGGCAGCCGTGAAGTTTCTGGACACTGACACCATCTGGTAATGGACATTTAGATGGGCATTCCCCTTGGATTGAGACAGTCCCTGGGGCTATTTTTCCTGATTTGCCCAGATGGTTATCAGTGGAAGAAGAAACCCTCTCCATTTATTGCAAGGACAGGGAAGGTGGCCCACTTGACTTTGGCATTTGGCTGCTCTGTAGCCCCTTAGGAGGAGGACTGCTCAGGCTACAATGGTGTTAGAACATGGCCACCCCTCTTCTCTAGCCTAGAAGCTGCTCCTTAGGCTGGGAGGGTGGTTATGCAGCTCTTGCAGGTGCCGTGACCACAGGCCCCTTAGGCCTGGGGGCGCCTGTGACCTTAAACTTCTGCCCACTGACACTTTCTCAGGTAGACATCCTTGGCACTATGGATGCTGATAAGTAGGAGTGTCCTTCTCCAGTTCTGAATTCTCCTCTGTGTCTATATATCTTGGCTAATTGGTCGGTGTTGCCGAAGGAAAGTTGAGAAACAATGGAAATGATTGAGCAGCACGGTGCCTGCTAGCCCAAGTGCTCTAGTATCCTGAGTCATCTCACGATGACACAGGAAGTCAGCACTGATGACTGGAGGCATGCTTTCGAAGTGGGTGGCCCATAGCTAGTGGGAAAGCCCGCTCCATTTATATTAGGTTCACTTGACTTCAGGGAGCAGAAACCCATTCAATCTAGCTCAGACAAAAAGAGGATTCTTGAAAACTATACAGGGATCCTGACAGGAAATGAAGGACGATCGGGCCACCAGGAAAGGGAGCTATAAGATCCAATGTCAGAGCTCCTCCCTGTGCCCTATTGGGGTGAGCGGAAGGTGAGGGAGGAAAGGTTGGCTGCCCATCTGCCCCTCCCAGCATAACTCATGACCTCTCTTCCCCACGTTGCTTACACAAGACGGTGGATTTCCATAATGCCCACTTGGGTTCCCATCCCATAAAACCCTGCAGCTCAGCTCCCCTCAGCTGACTCATGCCTGTGTCTCTTGGTCAAACAAATGACACAGCCTGGCCTCTAGCTTGGTCCCATCAGGTCTGGCATCTGTGCCAGCAGCTGCATCTGTAGCCAGGAGGTGGATGGGCTTGTGAGGTGTAAACAGGCTATTTTGGTCTGTGACCAGGGGCACAGTCTCTTGGAGGGGGTGAGGGTAGAGATGCAAAGACTGAGCATCTGGCACAGCATTCCCATTCAGCATCCAGGTCAAGCGGGTGTGGACCCAGGGTTGCAGTTAGTAGATTGGATCTGCTTTAGAATGACAGTAACATAGCGCAGCAAGCTTGGACCTGTCAAATATTTGGGGGCATTTAGGGTAGTGGTTCTCAAACTCAGGCTTACATTAGAATCCCCTAGAGGGCTTGTTAAAACAGATTGCTGGGCCCCACTTCCAGAAGTTCTGATTCTATAGGGATGCAGCCTGAGAATGTGTATTTCTAATAAGTTCCCAGGTGATGGTGGTGCCAGGGCCACACTTTGAGAACCACTGCTTTAGGGGAAAAGACTTGTGGGACTGGGATGGTGGTGGTGAAATTTTTGTTGTTGTCCTTTGTGTTTTTCCTTTTCTGTCACTGAATGAAGGAATTGTACTTTTTTATTAATGAAGGTGATTTTTACAATGAATTAGCTACAGGGTGGAGGAGCCTGAGACATTAGTGGAACTTCAAAGGAATGAGTGGGATCCAATCATCGAATGGGCTGAGAAAAGGTAAGATGTACAGCCCTGCAGAAAGCACTGACTGGGCACCTGCGTTGGTGGAGTGTTGGGGTCAGGGGACCACGCTGGAAAACTAGTGCCCTTAGCTAGTCAGCTTTCTGATTTCAGAGCACTCATGGGATTCGGCTCCCCTCATATGATCAGGGATACGGTCATCTTGGGAAAAAAGCACCCATTTCAGCCACTAGGTACAGCACACCTGCTATAGCAGTTCATGAAATATAAGGGCAGCTCTGTGTCCTTGGAGAAGCAGTGGAGTCCCCAGGCCACTTTCTGCCAGCGGGTCAGAGCAGCAGTGTCAGTTTGAATCCCAGCCCTGCTAGAGACTCAGTTGTGTGACTTGGCTAATGAGTTGATCTCTCTGAGCTTCAATTTCCTTGTCCATAAATGGGGCTAATAATCCCTACCTCTCATGGTTTGAGGAGGAGTAAATGAACTGATGCATGTAAAGGCTTAGCATCCTGCTTAGCACACAGTAAATGTTCAAATTTTAGCAGTGATTTTCATCTCTTGTCACAATTGCTGTACTATTAAATCAAATAACAGAACAACACCTATGATATGTATGCACTTGGAGAAAAGTCTGGATAGCTTCCTGCAGATTACAGGTAACATCCAATGGATATGTAGCTTCCAGGAATTGATACGAAATATTTTTCCTTAGTAGGAAGACTCGAGTGCAAAGTTGAATGGATTATTGATGTGGTGGCAAAATAAATTCAATTTCATTTGATCCCAAGGGAAATTTGGAAGGGCTGGCTTTCATGGTAGTACCTTGACCATGGTATTTTCTAAGCTTGCAAGGCGTATTTCTTGGTATAGCATTTTTCACAAAAGTGATGTTACCAATCAGTTTACTGATTTGCCACATGCTGCCCGATGCTCACAATGTGGCAGGTGTCCTTGGGTCTTAAAGGAGAAGGCAAAGGCAGTGCTCTAAAGACCAGACTACAATACTGTGTGGGAATGCGACAATACAGTGTCATTTCAGAATCTAATGAAATATAATAATTTAGGTGCCTAGAGATCTTTGCTATAGTATAAAATCATCAGATTCTTGTGGCAGGAAATACCCTATCCTTAAGAGTTTACAGAAAAACTTAGCCATTTCCTACAGTCCATTTGTACTATTAGGAATTTCAGCAAGGATTTTTTTTTTTTCTTTCTTGATACGGAGTCTCGCTCTGTCACCCAGGCTGGAGTGCAGTGGTGCGATCGTGGCTCACTGCAACCTCCACCTCTTGGGTTTAAGTGATTCTCGTGCCTCAGCCTCTCGAGTAGCTGTGATTACAGGTGCCCACTACACCCAGCTAATTTTTGTGTTTTTATAGAGATGGAGTTTCACTGTGTTGGCCAGGCTGGTCTCGAACTCCTGACCTCAAGTGATCGCCCACCTCAGTCTCATGAAGTGCTGGGATTACAGGCGTGAGCCACTGCACCCAGCCGGACTTTTTTTTTTTTGAGATGGAATCTCGCTTTGTCGCCCAGGCTGGAGTGCAGTGGCACGATCTCAGCTCACTGCAAGCTCCGCCTCCCAGGTTTTACGCCATTCTCCTGCCTCAGCCTCCTGAGTAGCTGGGACTACAGGCGTGCACCACCTATGCCCGGCTAATTTTTTTTGTATTTTTAGTAGAGACGGGGTTTCACTGTGTTAGCCAGGATGGTCTCGATCTCCTGACCTCATGATCCACCCACCTTGGCCTCCCAAAGTGCTGGGATTACAGGTGTGAGCCACTGCGCCCGGCCCCAGCCGATTTTTTTTTAAGCAACAGAAAAAAATCAGTGATATATGGAATAAAATTACAAAAATTATTTTTATCCCCCATTGTGTTTTTCTGTTTTATTTAGTTATGATTATTCTTGAAAATGTATCTTCTTGGCCAGGCGCAGTGGCTCACGCCTGTAATCCCAGCACTTTGGAAGGCCGAGGCGGGCAGATCATGACATCCTGGCTAACACGGCGAAACCCCGTCTCTACTAAAAACAGAAAAAATTAGCCAGGCATGATGGCGGGCGCCTGTTGTCCCAGCTACTCAGGAGGCTGAGGCTTATGAACCTGGGAGGCAGAGCTTGCAGTGAGCCAAGATCACGCCACTGCACTCCAGCTTGGGCGACAGATCGAGACTCCCTCTCAAAAAAAAAAAGGTATCGTCTCTTGAAGCCAGCACATGTCCCATAGACCACAGACCCAAAACAATGCCTTATGTAAGGTAGAGGCTTGATGAAGGTTTGAAAAAATAAGACGGGCGTGGTGCCTCACGCCTGTAATCCCAGCACTTTGGGAGACTGAGGCAGGCGGATCACTTGAGGTCAGGAGTTTGAGACCAGCCTGGCCAACAAGGTGAAACCTCATCTCTACTAAAAATACAAAAATTAGTCAGGCGTGATGGCAGGCGCCTATAATCCCAGCTACTCAGGAGGCTGAAGCAGGAGGATGACTTGAACCTGGGAGGCGGAGGTCACAGTGAGCCGAGATCGCGCCACTGCACTCCAGCCTGGGGGAGAGAGCAAGAAAGACTTCATCTCAAAACAAAAAAAAAAAGTTTGAAAAAATGACTGCTGACTGGTCATGGTGGCTCATGGCTGTAATCCCAACACTTTGGGAGGCCAAAGTGGGCAGATTGCTTGAGTCCAGGCATTTGAGACCAGCTCGAGCAACATGGTGAAACCCTGTCTCTACAAAAAATTAGCTAGGTGTGGTGGCACATGCCTGTAGTCCCAGCTACTTGGGAGACTGAGATGGGAGGATCGCTTGAGCCTGAGAGGTTGAGACTGCAGTGAGTCAAGATCATGCCAGCACACTCCAGCCTCGGTGACAGAACGAGACCGTGTTTCAATAAAAAAGAAGAAAACCTCCATGATATATGACATATATAAACATTATTTTAAGGAAAACCATTTTAAGTATTGTTTTTAACTTTTATATGGCCTCAAATGTGAAAAACTTTTTAAAGAGATATAAAAGGCACATGGCCTTTTGATGGAGATTCCAGGTGAATGAATGAACATTTCAAGCAGCTGCATATAACTGAGCCCCAGCTCACATGACTCAGGAACTATCCCTTCATTCAGCACAGTTTCTTGGTCCTCTAAGTTTGCTCTTGAGGGACAGAAAATGAGATCGGAGCCAGGGGCAGTTTCTCACACCTGTAATCCCGGCACTTTGGGAGGCCAAGGCGGGTGGATCACCAGGTCAAGAGATCGAGACCATACTGGCCAACATGGTGAAACCCTGTCTCTACTAAAAATACAATAAATTAGCCGGGTGTGGTGGTGGGCGCCTGTAGTCCCAGCTACTCGGAGGTTGAGGCAGGAGAATGGCGTGAACCCGGGAGGTGGAGCTGGCAGTGAGCCGAGATCGCGCCACTGCACTCTAACCTGGGCGACAGAGTGAGACTCTGTCTCAAAGAAAAAAAAAAGAAAATCAGGTCAGGAGGCCACTGACCATGGTGGCAGTTGCTCCTGGAGGCCTCAAGACTAGCTCCTTGGCCAATGCACACACATGCTCTGAAGCTTAGGCCTTTGTTTTTAGTCAAAAGGTGGGCTGCTCTTGAGCTGCAGCATGACAGAGACACGCCGAAGCCCTTTTCCTTTCAGATACGGCGTGGAGATCAACTCCTCCACCAGCATAATGGGACCCAGCATCCCCGCCAAGACGCGGGAGGTGCTCGTCAGCCACCTGGCATCTTACAACACGTGGGCTTTACAAGGTATGTATAGAGTTTCCTGTGGGCTTGGCAGGTGGCTGTGAAGGCCATCAGTATCCGAAGCCTGTGCTTGCCCCTCCTCAGGTGCTGTGAGTAGAGAGGCACAGGGGCGTTCTGGGCTAGCTGAGTGTGGAGGCTGGCTGGCTCTGATGCTCTAGGCTCACACTTTTCCACCTTTGACTCTCCAGCGGAAGTCTTGAGTTCAATCTCATTGCCCTGGCTTGGGTCATATGTCCATCCATGAACCAATCACTAGACTGGTGGGGGAAGCTCTGATTTCCCAAGTTCAGGTCATGTGTCTCACTGGGTAAGAGCAGAGGAGGATGGGAAAACCAGAGTGCTCTTTCAGAAGAGTGAGACAATCGCTGGATGGCTCTTTGCACCACTCGCTTCTGTTCTCTGCTAGGGCTGCTGGGACTCACAAGGGGCAGGTTGTGGCAGCTGCCCTGTTTTGGATCCTGACTTGGCTTGTGTCCCTGCAGGGATTGAGTTTGTAGCTGCCCAGCTCAAGTCCCTGGTGCTGACCTTGGGCCTGATTGACCTGCACCTGACAGTGGAGCAGGCTGTGCTGCTGTCACGCCTGGAGGAGGAGTACCAGGTAAGGAGCAGCACCTCAGGTCCCGCCTTCCCCTTCCTAGTTCAGACTCGCTTTGGGGGAACAGCTAACCCATCTGAAATACAGTTATGCATAGTTGGCTTTCATTACTTTTGTGTACATGCAGAAATCAAAATCAAGGACCAGCAGAAGTATTGTCAAGTAGGCCTGGCGTGGTGGTTCACACCTGTATCCTAGTACTTTGGGTGGCCGAGGAGGGTGGATCATTTGAGGTCAGGAGTTTGAGACCAGCTTGGGCAACGTGGCAAAACTCCATCTCTACAAAAATACAAAAATTTAGCGCCTGTAGTCCCAGCTACTTGGGAAGCTGACGTGGGAGGATTGCTTAAACCTGGGAGGTGGAGGTTGCAGTGAGCCAAGATTGTGCCACTGCATTCTAGTCTGGGTGAAAAAGTGAGACCCTGTCTCAAAAAAAAAAGTATTGTAAGATAATAACATTTAAAAAATAACAGTAAGTGCTACCGCTGTGTTCCTGCACTGTATCCATCTCACCTCCTCTCAGCAGCCTGGGCAGGTAGGAGCTGTGGTTATCTCTGTTTTACACAGGAGGAAACTGAGGTGCAAGGTTGCACCTCTGGAAAATGTGCCAGCTAGGGCTTGAAGCCAGGTCTGGTGATTTTAGGCCAAGACTGTCAGGCCTCACTCTGCACAAGGAGGTTCACGGGTGGATAAAGACCATCTGGGCTTGATAAAGCCTGCAGAACAGGCCCTGCCAAGATGACTGAGAACCCGTTTGTGCTCCTACATCAGCTAAGCCTTCATACCCTGACATTTTATCTGGCTGGCAGAGGAGCATAGGGGCAGCTGCTGTTTGTACACAAGTTTTGATTTAGTGGGCTCAGAATTAAGGTTTTGCTACAGTATGGTTTGCATTTTTTAACTCTGAAAATTATGGCCATCTTTGCAGTTATTCCACCAACCTCAGAAGGTTAATTGCTATTATGAATTGGTCCCTAGTATGGTAAAAAAAACAAAAAAAAAGCTTTTTGTGATGTATTTCCCTAGTTCTTATAGTCTTCTGCTCAGAAAAATGCCAGGGGAAAAAACTATTTTTGTATAACAAAGTAGGCCTGCTACTATTCTCTGGATGTCAGAACCGATTACATAGGAAGGGGGTGACTTGTAGGGCTGGTGGGAAGCCAGTCTGGGCACTGCTTCTGACTATGGGACCCAAGCCAGGCCATCATTCTCTGAACTTTGGTTTCGATCCTCTACAAACAGAGGAATAACCTGAATTACGTATGTGATGGTATACAATGAAAGTATGGAATACTCTTCAGATGACTTATTACAATTGTACAGTTTGGGACCAGGCAGCCCAGAAGTTCAAATAGCTTGTGTAGCATGGCAGATTCTGAGTTCCTGGATGAGCTGGGGCGGCCAGGCCAGGCCTCTTGGGCAACTAGCCAGGGAGGAGCCAGCAGGGTCTGGTTGGAGTTACACTGTCTGGACAGCCACACCGTGTGTCTGAGGGTTCCTCCCTCTTGTTTTTAGAGCTCCAGACCCATCCTGGCTAACATGGTGAAACCCCGTCTCTACTAAAAATACAAAAAACTAGCCGGGCGAGGTGGCGGGCGCCTGTAGTCCCAGCTACTTGGGAGGCTGAGGCAGGAGAATGGCGTAAACCCGGGAGGCGGAGCTTGCAGTGAGCTGAGATCCGGCCACTGCACTCCAGCCTGGGCGACAGAGCGAGACTCTGTCTCAAAAAAAAAAAAAAAAAAAAAAAAGAGCTCCAGACAGAGAATCTGCAACGTGTCCCCAGTGTGCAGAGCAGAGGCATCTGTAGTTCTGTGACTACCACAAGAGTTAGAGTTGAAGCCACTGCATGGCCTTGCTTGATTTAGTTATTCCACCCACATGGGGCTCGGGGTGCACTTGTAGCCCAGCATGGCAAGGCAACTTGCAGAGGCTGTCCGTTCACAGGCTTCCCGGGAGGAAGTGTAGGAGAAGGGATGGCACATAAGTCAGGCCTCCTCAAAGAAGTCACATGGGTGGTTCTGGTACCCAGCCTGCTCAGTGGTGGGTGGGCAGCTACTGGCCCTGGGCCTGGACTGTACTTCTTCTAGACCATCCATGCCACAGAAAGCACAGGTGCCTGCTCTGGCTCCCTGAGTGGTTGTGTGTGTGTGTATGTGTGTGTGTGTGTGGTGCTCTTGAGACAGGGTGTTGCTGTGTTGCCCAGGTTGGAGTGCAGCGGTATGATCTTGGCTCACTGCAGCCTCAACCTCCTGGGCTCAAAGCAGTCCTCCTACCTCAACCTCTCAAGTAGCTGGGACTATAGGTGCACCCCCACCACACCCAGCTAATTTTTAAAACTTTTTGTAGAGATGAGGTTTCACCATATTTGCCCAGGCTGATCTTGAACTCCTGGGTTCAAGCAGTCTTCCTGCCTTGGCCTCCCAGAGTGCTGGGATTACAGGCGTGAGCCACTGTGCCTGGCCCACCTGGGTGTTCTTACCTGCCGCCTCCCTCTAGGCATGTCTCGTGTTTTGGCAAGATCCAAACCTGTTGCCCTCAGCCGAGCTATTGGAATGGAATGTGGCTTTGGCCAGGAGGCAGCCAGGCACTGGCCACTCACCCAGCAACTTGTCTTGTCTGTCCCTCAGATCCAGAAGTGGGGCAACATTGAGTGGGCCCATGACTACGAGCTGCAGGAGCTGCGGGCCCGCACCGCTGCCGGCACCCTCTTCATCCATCTCTGCTCCGAGAGCACCACAGTCAAGCACAAGCTCCTGAACGAGTGAGGCCTGGGCAGCACACACTCAGCAGGATAGAGGCAGCGCAGCCACAGCTCCCCCAACCTTCAGGGCTCCTCAGCCTGTGGGGCTGACTTCCTTGACTTTTGGGGCCTCGGCCTCAGCATCACCCTGAGATTTCCCTGAAACACAGTGCGCTAGTGCGACTGTCCGGAGGTCAGCCTGATTTCAAACCAGGTGCCCCTGGCCTGGTCAGCAATGAATGTGGGAGATGAATTGTACAACTAACTTTCTCTCAACCCTGATTTTATTAAATATTTCTCCACCCTGGAAATGTGCTGAGCCCTGTTTTCACGTGCACTTCTGCACTTCTCTATTCTTCCTGTTTTGTCTAGGTTCCAGAGGGTTAAACAGCTTATCTCCCATGGCATGTTTGGATATCTGCTGCCTGTGGTTGGGAACCTTGTGCTGGGGAAACAGTCATGTCATCCACAGACAACTCTATTTGTGTTCTTCAGCCTCAACTTGAAGGCTTTTTTTGGCTGGCTTTTAATCAATCTTTTGAAATGATCATGGTTTAAGCTGGTTGTTTCTATTTGTTCCTACTGTTCTAAAACAAGTGATTTACTCTAGAAAGTAGAAAATGGACAGGCTTGGCGAGGTCACTTGATGTGCATGTTTCCGCTCATCTCCCACCCAGGAGTCCCAGGGGTCCTCCCGACATAGCCACCTCTAATGTCCCAGGAGGCAGGTGCTGCTGTCTGGTGTCAGGCCAGTAAGAGGGCAGTGGGGATCCCGAGTGTGGTTCTTAGGCAGACAGGCTGTCTCAGTCCTGTGTCCTTGCCAGCCTGAGTAAGGTAATGGCATCAACCCTGTTCACACGGCACTGATCACATGCTGGGTGCCTCTCCATGCTTCCCACGCACTGTCTCCCTGAACTGTTCCTCGAAGGCACTGTGAGGTACTATCACAGATGACACCAGGGCTGCGGGGGTGTGGTGGAGCTGGGATGCCCCGCCTGTGCTCTGCTCTTCTGGAGGGTCCTCAGGTCCCTGTGACTAACCTCAGCCTTGGTGGGCAGGCCCAGGCCCCCACACTGTGGTGGGAGCTGCAGCCTCTCCTGCATTGCTGCCCCTCAGCACCCAGAGCAGAGAAGGTCTCAGCCCACACCAGCCTCCTTTTGCCTGTGGCCAGCAGCCTGCCTAGGCATGGCAGGAGAAACGGCAGGGGCACGTGTCTGACTTTATGCCACAGCCAAGAGTCTAGCTGATGGCAGTGCCCTTGGGAGTCACTCTGTCAGCTGGCCTGGGACCGGCTGTTCATCTCAAACTCTTTCTCCTGTTCCTACATGAACATGAATTCTGATTTTTTTGTTTTGTGTTTTTGTTTTTATTTTTGTTTTTCTTTTGAGACGGAGTCTTGCTCTGTCACCCAGGCTGGAGTGCAGTGGCCGGATCTCAGCTCACTGCAAGCTCCGCCTCCCGGGTTCACGGCATTCTCCTGCCTCAGCCTCCCGAGTAGCTGGGACTACAGGTGCCCGCCACCTCACCCGGCTAGTTTTTTGTATTTTTAGTAGAGACGGGGTTTCACCATGTTAGCCAGGATGGTCTCGATCTCCTGACCTTGTGATCTGCCCGTCTCGGCCTCCCAAAGTGCTGGGATTACAGGCTTGAGCCACTGCGCCCGGCCTTTTTTTTTTCTTTTTTTTTGAGACACAGTCTCGCTCTGCTGCCCAGGCTGGAGTGCAGTGGTGCAATCTTGGCTCACTGAAACCTCCACCTCCCAGGTTCAAGCGATTGTCCTGTCTCAGCCTCCTGAGTAGCTGGGATTACAGGCACACGCTACCATGTCCGGCTAATTTTTGTATTTTTAGTAGAGACGAGGTTTCATCATGTTGGTCAGGCTGGTCTTGAACTCCTGACCTCGTGATCTGCATGCCTCGGCCTCCCAAAGTGCTGGGATTACAGGCGTGAGCCACAGTGCCCAGCTGAATTTTTTTTTTTTTTTTTAATGAATAGGGGAAATGTGACATAAGTCCTTTATTTTCTCTACTTTTGGAAGTTTTTCCAGGGGTGGGGCAAGAATGGTGTGGGGGATCGTAGTTGAGAGATGCGCAGCAACTCTCCCGAGGTGCTCGGTGAGGCATGTGCACTTCCTTCTCTTGGTTAGGGCTGGTGCTATGTTTTGAAGAAGCTCCTGTGGCTGACACTCATCTAGTCTAGGATGTCGCTATATTCCAGGTTGTCCAGTTCGCTCTGCATGTGGTCGATGTACTGATTGATCTCCTTCACGCGCTTGCGGTTCCTCATGATCTCATCCTTGTGAATCTGAGGAGTGAAACCAAAGCCCGATTCCTTACATCAGATCATTGGTTAATATCTTTCACTGAGTCCAGTTTGAGGGAAGGGGAAAATAGTTCCTTGAGATATGCAAACCTCCGCATTTGCTTCGGTGCCTCCCCAGGTTCTGCTGATCTCTGTGTATTTGAAGTAGGAGTTAGGAAAATGATGAAGCCCATGGGTTTTGTGTTTTTTTTGAGATGGAGTCTTACTTTGTCACCCAGGCTGGAGTGCAGTGGCACGACCTTGGCTCACTGCAAGCTCCACCTCCTAGGTTCACGCCATTCTCCTGCTTCAGCCTCCCGAGTAGCTGGGACTATAGGCGCCCGCCACCATGCCCAGCTAATTTTTTGTATTTTTAGTAGAGATGGGGTTTCACCGTGTTAGCCAGGATGTTCTTGATCTCCTGACCTCGTGATCTGCCTGCCTCGGCCTCCCAAAGTGCTGGGATTACAGGCGTGAGCCACGGCGCCTGGCCGAAGCCCATGGGTTTTAAAGTCTCTGGGCAACCTTGTCTTCAGTGTGGAGTTCTATAATCCTTAATTTTATTTCTTCTTTCATTTCATTCCTAAATGAGAATTCTATCCGCTACCTAGGGAGGATTTCCATGTCAGCTAGAAAAATTTGTCCAACCTGCTAGGATGGCTTGGCATTGACTCACCTTGTCTACTAAACGTGTACACCAGGAGTTGATTCTGGTCACCAGCTCATCTTCTCGATTGTCAATCTTCAGAAGGTGGATGTCGTGCGATGCCCCGACAGCATTAACAATCGTATCTTTATCGACAAAAAGCTGGTGAGTGAAAAGAATCCAATGAGAACATGTGTGTCATTACACCCTGAACACAAAGAGAGCTGAATAGAAAAGGAGCATTTGGAAGTCCCCTGGCTGTGCAGGCCACACTCAGAGCAGAGCTCACCTTTGTATCAGCGCACTCTGCCGATTCATCTGTGAATTCATCTGTGACAGCTGCCTCCCCAACCGCGCAGGGCAGGTGTTGAGGGGAAAGGGCCAACCAGGGTGTTACTCTGCAGTCCCCGCTGGAAGCATGTTTCCTCCAGGGTGAAGGCAGATGGCTGCCCAGGGGGCACCTCACCCAGGACATCTGTTCTCACAATGCTTCTCTCTCAGTTACTCTCAAGTCTGACTTGCCCAAAACCTCTGCCTGCTGGGTGGAAGCATGAGACTGGCTGAGGGTCTTGGGGCTGCTCTGAAGACAGCAGGCCCTATAAACTGATGGGTGTTCACCCCACAGTTGTCTCTCCACTGCCACTCATGTCAACAAAACCAAACCATGGATTCCATCTGGGGTCTCCTTCTGCCTTCTCTTGTTCCTGACTTTGCTGTCTTGTAAAAAGTTGTTAGAAACAACCACCCTCTAATAGGCCTCACTGGTTCCAGGTGTTGACACTGTAGCTGTCGTTGCCTGGGATGGTGGAAATGCCCAGAGCAGGGCAAGGCCACCGAAGCACTCAGTAAGCAGTTGCTTCCACCTTGAAGCAGAGGCGTTTGGTAAGGAAGAGCACGTGAATGCTCTGTATTGCAGGGAGGACTTGCAAGTGGAGTGTACACTTTTTGTTCTTCCCTGTAGTGGCAGTTAACGGTCTCTAAAACATGTTCTGTGGAATCTTATGTTAATATTTCTACCAAAAAAAGTATTCTTTGGTCAAACACATTTGGGAAAGCCAGCACCCCCAGGCCCCTCCTGAAGATTTGCAGAGCACAAAGTATTCCAGAGGCTCTACAAAGTCCTGTGGAAAATAAACCCTTTAAGCTTTGTCTCTCTTGGTTTTTCAACTTTTTTGGCCACAGACTTCAGAGTAATGCCTGTTAATGTCTTGTGGGATGCTGATTTTCCACAGAATCCCAGTGGGAAAAGCCAGGTTAGCTGATATGTGGAATGGGGTATCTGGGGGACCAATTAGCACAGTCACAAGGGAGAAATGTCAAGAAATCATTAAGTTCTTTCCATGTGTGTACAAGGTCCCAGGCCAGGCTCTGGGAATGGTTCAAAGGTGTGTAAAGCCTATTTTCGGTGAGCGTTGGCAGTGTGCTTAGAAATGAGTGTTCTGGTTATTTTAGAGATAACTACAACCACAGTGTCAACCCATCACGAAAAGGTTTTCATCCTTCATCCTAAAAAGTGGGTCATAGTGGAGCTTTTAGCCAGGCAGAGAAATCATCCCCCTCAGAGTTTGAATATGTAGAAAACAGCTTCAAAAGCTGTGAGAAGCAACAGAAACTGAAGTCTGCTTAGAAAGATACATGATTAGAATTGGTTATGAAAAACAGTGTGACATTTGTAAAATGCAAATAAAAGGAAACTGGGTTTAAGGGAATTATTTTGAGATGTAAGTTACAAGTTGTTTCTGGACTTTGGGTGGCCTAGAGTGGTGGCTACTTCAATTTTCCCTCTTAGAATAGTTTTTATGGGTAGAATATTCCAGATCCCTCTCCAGTTTCTGCAGGTTGAAAGCCTAGGGTGGAGGCAGGGACTATGCAAACAGGTATTCCTGAATCTTTTTTGAGGTGTTGCCCTGCTCTGTGGTCCTTGTGGCTGTAAAGACACACTTCTTTCAAAGCAACTTCTTTGTTTAAACAGTGTTGGCATTGGCCAGGCGCAGTGGCTCATGCCTGTAATCCCAGCACTTTGGGAGACCGAGGTGGGCAGATCACCTGAAGTCAGGAGTTCAAGACTAGCCTGGCCAATATGGTGAAACCCCATCTCTACTAAAAATACAAAAATTAGCTGGGTGTGATGGTGGGCACCTGTAATCCCAGCTACTCGGGAGGCTAAGGCAGGAGGATAACTTGAACCCGGGAGGCCAAGGTTGCAGTGAGCCAAGATCGCACCCTTGCACTCCAGCCTGGGCAGCAAAAGTGAAACTCCACCTCAGAAAAAAAAAATTGGCATTTAAAAAAATTGACTAATAATTGTTCATATTGATGGGGTACATACTGATGTTTCTACACTTATCATATATAGTGATCAGATCAGGGTATTAGCATATCTGTCTCAAACATTTATCATTTCTTTGTGTTGAGAACATTCAATATCCTACTTCTAGCTATTTGAAACTATAATATATTATTGTCAACTGTAGTCATCCTATAGTGGTATAGAACACTAGAACTTAGTCCTCCTATCTAGCTGTAATTTGGTATATCCTTTAACAAATCTCTCCCTATTCCTTCATCCCCCTACCCTTCCCAGTCTCTAGAAGCCTCTGTTCTTCTTTTTACTTCTATGAGATCAACTTTTTTAGCTTCGGCATATGAGTGAGAATATGAGGTGTTTAACTTCTGTTCCTGGCTTATTTCACTTAACATAATGTTCTCCAGTTCCATCCCTGTTGCCATGAATGACAGGATTTCATTCTTTTTTATGGCTGAATAGTATTCCATTGTGTATATGTACCACATTTTCTTTATCCCGTCATCTGTTGTTGGACACCTAGGTTGATTATGTATCTTGCTGTTGCAAACAGTGCTGCAGTAAACATGGGTGCAGATATCTTTGCAATATAGTGATTTCCTTTCCTTTGGATAAATGCTCAGTAGTGAGATTGCTGGATCATATGATAGTTCTGTTTGTAGTTTCTGAGGGCCCTCCACAGTGTTCTCCCTAGTGGCTGTCCTAGTTTACATTCTTACTAACAGTATATTAGAGTTCCTTTTTCTTTGGATCCTCACCAGCATTTGTTATTTTTTGTCTTTTCGATAATTATCATCCTAAGTGGGGTGAGATGATGCCTCATTCTGGTTCTTATTTGCATTTCTCTGATAACTAGTGATGCTGAAGATTTTTAAATGTATTTGTTGGCCATTTGTATGTCTTCTTTTGAGAAACATCTGTTCAGATGTTTTTAATTGAATTGTTTGTTTTTTTGCTGTTGAGATGTTAGAGTTCCTTGTATATTCTGGATAGTAATACCCTTGTCAGATAAGTAGTTTGCAAATATTCTCTCTCATTGTGTAGGGTGTCTTTTCACTCTGTTGTTTCATTTGCTGTGCAGAAGATTTATAATTGGATATATTCCCGTTTATTTATTTTTGCTTTTGTTGTCTGTGCTCTTGAGGTCTTATTCATAAATTTTTTTTTCCCAGTCCAATGTCCTAAAGCATTTCTCCTGTTTCTTCTGGTCATTTTTTTCAGGTCTTTTTTTTTTTTTTTTTTTTTTTTTTTTTTTTTTTTTTTTTTTTTTTCTTCTGGTCATTTTATAGTTTCAGGTCTTTTTTTTTCTTTCTTTTTTTTTTTTTTTTCCTGAGACAAAGTCTGGCTCTATCGCTCAGGCTGGAGTGCAGTGGTGCAATTTCAGCTCACTACAACCTCCGCCTCCTGGGCTCAAGCCATCCTCCCCTCTCAGCGTCCTGAGTAGCCGGGACTATAGGCACGCACCACCATGCCTAGCTAATTTTTGTATTTTTTATAGAGAGTTGGGGCTTTGCCATGTTGCCCAGGCTGGTCTCAAACTCATGAGCTCAAGTGATCTGCCTGTCTCGGCCTCCCAAAGTGCTGGGATTACAGGCATGAGCCACTGCGCCCGGCCAGTTTCAGGTCTTACATGTTTAGTTGATTTTTGTATAGGGTGAGAGGTGGGGATCTAGTTTCATTCTTCTGCATATGGATATCCAGTTTTCCCAGCACAATTTATTGAAGAGACTGTCTTTTTCCCAGTGAGTGTTCCTGGCGCTTTTGTCAAAAATCAGTCAGCTGTAAATACATAGATTAATTTCTGAGTTCTCTATTCTGTTTCATTGATTTATGTATCTGTTTGTTTGTTTGTTTTAAACAGGCTTAATTCACTTTATTTTTCTTGTATAAAAACCCTGTGTTACTTTGGGAAGCCAAGGTGGGCAGATAACCTGAGGCCAGGAGTTTGGGAGCAGCCTGGCCAACACTGGTGAAACCATGTCTCTACTAAAAATACAAAAAATTAACCAGGCGTGGTGGCATGCACCTGTAGTCCCAGCTACTCGGGAGGCTGAGGCAGGAGGATCATGTGAACCCAGGTGGCAGAGGTTGCAGTGAGCCAGGATTGCACCACTGCATTCCAGCCTGGGTTACAGAGCAAGGCCCCATCTCAAAACAAAACAAAACAAAAAAAAACCAACCCTGTGTTGCAGCCACAGCTGCAGCCTGGGTCTTTCACACAGAGACTCTGGTGTGGGTCTTGACAAAATGGTCAGTGAATTCCTGAGAGGAAGACTTGGTGAATACAGTCTCCTCCCAGAGGTCAGGGGGCAGGTAGCTATAGGTCTTGGAGATGGCATCAAAGGTGGCCTTGGCAAAGTTGTCCAGAGTGGCAGTGCGGCTCCTGGTTGAGGTGTAGTGGTTGTCAATACTGGACATCAGCAGCATCTTCCTGGGCACAGAGGCCAAGAGGATGCCAGTGCCTCTGGGTGCAGGGATAAGGTACAGCAGCACGGAGCTGCAGCAGCCTGTCACCTTGCAAGGGACAGTGTGGGGCTTACGATCTTGGTCCCCCAGTAGCCTCTCCGCACGGGACAATGGAGAGCGTAGCCAGGATGATGATCCCTCTGACAGCAGTGGCTGCTTCCTTGGAGCACGTAACACCCAGACTGATGTGGCCATTGTAATCCCTGATGGCAACAAACGCCTTGAACCTGCTGCACTGGCTGGGGCAGGTCTGCTTCTGCACTGGCATAATCTTTAAAACCTTATCCTTAAGAGAGGCCCTCAGGAAAAGGTCAATGATCTCAGACTACTTGATGGGCAGGGAGAAGAGACAGATCTCCTCCGGGGACTTGATCTTCATGTCCTTGACCAGGCAGCCCAGCCTGGTGACAGGCATCCACTCCTTGGCCTGGGCCTTGCCTCTGAGAGCTCCCTGCAGCCTCGGCCCCTGCCCTGACTACGGCCACAATCCTAGCCCCAGAAGCTGCTGGCAAAGCTTCCATGGTTTCCCATTCCAGGCCTCTGGGCCCTCCTGCTGCCATGGTGTCATCTACTATTTGGTGTTTTCTTGGAGAAAAATGTGTCTGTTTTATGCCAGTACCATGCTGTTTTGGTTAATATCGCTTTGTAGTATATTTTGAAGTCTAGTAATGTGATGCCTCCAGCATTGTCCTTTTTGCTCAAGATGGCTTTGGCTATTCAGGGTCCTTTGTGGTTCCAAATTTTAGGATTTTTTTTTTTCTATTTCTGCAAAGAATGTCATTGGTGTTTTGATGGGGATTGCATTGAATCTGTAGGTTGCTTTGGGTAGCAACAGAGTAACTTTTGAGAAGGGAACAGCCCCTCCCCAGGACCACCACACTGCTAGTGGCTTGAGGACTTGCTGCCCCATGGCATGTGGGATCAGATCATTTTGTCAAACCCACAGAGGGCACCTAATGACCCTGCATTCCCCTCTGCCACAAATGAGCAGCTTGGCTTGATGGTCAGGGACAAGCCAGCACAGTGTCTCCTGGTGCCAGCCAGAATCTTGTGACAGTCTCCCTATCTAGAGACTGCTGGCTTGGGTCAAACCCACTGCCACTTGAACAGACCCTGGGGACTTGCATCCTCCCAATGGCCTGGGCCTGAGCACTTGCCCTGCCCTCACAGCCAGACACTCGCATGGATGTCACCACCGGTCAGCACCTCTGACCTCCCCGCCTCCCTAAATGGGCAGCTGTGGCTGCCAGCCCCACTCAGACGCCCTCCCTCAGTGCCAGCTCCAGGCTCTCTCCTCAGCATGTACGTTCTGCTTTTCCTCTCAAAGCTGGAAGGACTTGAAAATAGATGTGGGACAGATTGGCCCCACATAGGTCATGAGCTGATAACAGTCACTCAACTGCATGAGTGGCGTTTTAGAGATAACCTCATTAGGGTGACTTATCAAGATATGTTCATTGATAATTAGGTAACAGAAGCCAGATTTTTTTTCACCCACAGCCCTAGTCCCTCTTCTGAACATCCTCATCTTACTATACAGTAGACATTTTGTCAAAGGCTTTCAATCAAACTGCCTGGGTTCCAATCACAACCCTATCTCTTATAAGCTGTGTGTCCTTGGGCAGGTTACCATCATCTCTGTGCCTCAGTTTCCTCATCTGTAAAAGGGAACCATAATAGTAACTACTTTACCATGTTGATATGAAGATTAAAAGAGCAAACATGAGTTCAGTGCTTCTCAGAGGGCTGGCCCTCAGGAGGCCCCCAGTCAGTGTCAGTGATGTATTGTTCCTTTTTTTTTAAATTTCTTTTGAGACAGGGTCTTGCTCTGTCACCCAGACTGGAATGCAGTGGCACAATCATGGCTCACCTTGACCTCTCAGGCTCAAGTAATCCTCCAACCTCAGTCTCCCAAGTAGCTGGGACCACCAGGTGCAC